GAGACTTAAATAAAGGTTTAATTTCTCACAGATCAGATGTCAGAAAGAACAGCTTTAGATGATTGTCTTGGCCTTTCTCTCATGGTGGCAAAGTAGCTTCCTGAGATCCAACCATCACACCCACATTTGCAGTAGGGAAAAAGGGTCTTGGGCTGTGAAACCTACTCCAGAAACCTCAATTGGCTTTCCTCAGTTCCCGCTGAGCCATATGGTAGCTCCTCACAGCAAAGAGGGCTGGGACAATGAACCAATAGTCAGTCACAATTGACATGGACCCACTGTGATCTATCCGAGCCTGCTGAGCTTCCAAAGTCCACGTCCATTGGCCAGGTGAGGAGAGCCAGGAGCAGCTGAGACCAGTCCCACAGCTACAGATCACAGCCCTGGCTTTGTCCCAACGGTCCTGGTCCTTGAGGAATAACTGAGGCCAGAGCCAGAGGCCAGACCCCAGTCAGGACACGTCACTCTCAGGAGAGTAAGGAGCCTGAGCACCCCACACACAAGTGCTCCCGAAGTCTCTGCGGTGTGACCAGGTCCCTGGGCCCGAGACACCTTCAGCACCAACCACAGTCCAGATCCTGGCCTTTCCTGTCACCCAGAGGGCCTACCGGGGACCATCTGTCAGTGGGCACTGGACCAGGAGCCCTCAGGACCACGTAGGAGGTGGCGGGGGAGGGGTCAGGCAGAAGTGTCCGTCAACCTCTGCAGCAGTTCAGAGCTCACAGTGCCACCAGCAGGGGACACCAGGGTGTGTCCGGGTAGAGGAGACAATGGAGGGAACGAAACCTGCCAAGAGGCCATCAAGGGGAGACGGTTACCCCAACCTCGCTGACCCGGGGGCACTGTGAACACTCAGCCCAGGTAGCTCTGTCACATGGGGCCATGTCCCATGCCTGGCAGGACAGTGGCGTCCCCAGCCTCTTCCCAAAGGCTAGCAAGCACCCCCCAGGATGGAGCAATCAGAACTGTCTCCAGACAGTGGCAAAATCACCCCCAGTTTGAGAGCCTCCCCTTTGAGACACCTTGAAAGCCAGAGGAGACACCGAGAGCCCCCTGGCTGAGTTCTAGAACCTTCGAGCTCACAAAAAAAAAAAAAAAGCATCAACTCACTGAGGCTATGGCTCGCATGCCTCTGCTGATGGGCAGCTCACTCCATTAAAAGGCAGCTCCTTGCTGGGCAGGGGTGGTGCACACCTTTAATCCCAGCACTTGGCAGGTCTCTGAGTTGGAGGCCAGCCTGGTCTACAGAGTGAGTTCCAGGTCAGCCATGGCTACACAGAGAAACCCTGTCTCAAAAAAATAAAATAAAATAAACAAACAAAAAAGGCAGCTCTTTTCCTCTTGGAACTTTGAATTTCTTCCCTACACTGAGTCAAATTCTATCTCCTCGAAACAAGGCTGTGCTTACCATAACCCTGGCCAGAGGGCTCTCGGAACAGCCATGAACCCCAGTGCTACAGATGGAGAGACGGAAGCCCAGAGAGGACAAGGCATTTACCTAAGGTCACACAGAAAGTAGCAGATAAGAACGTTAACCTATTCTGTTTCCAGTTCTGTGTGCTCAGCCACCATGACCTGTGGCACTACTCTCCCTCAAAGCTCCTCCATCTTTGGGTGCCTAGGTCCGGACCCCACCTCCACCCTGCACCTCAGCCCATACCCACCTGGAGGGGTCCTCTTCATGGGAAAAGGGGCCCGGTAACTTGATGATGTTCAGTTTCCCCTCAAAGACACCGTAGCTGAGGGTGACCTGGGGGGAGATGGAAGGGTATTTGAGGGATGCCCCACTGGGGAGGCCCATAACGGTAGAGTGTTTTGGTACCAGCAGAGAAGACTCTGGGCCTTCAGAGAGGCCTGACGATTGAGCCTCCTATACTGGTGGAGCCCGGCGTCCCCCCAAAGGCACTGCAGCCCAGGGGCATGCTCTTGACTCCATCTCTTCGGCCCTGGCAGCCACGCTTACCCAGGCAGCTGGTGACTCCCTCTTCCTATGGGTTTGGACACCACACTCATCAAGAAGGGATCATTCCCCTCAGCTGAGTGCCTGGACTAGCTAGGAGATTTCCACAGCCCCGTGCAGGCCTCAGCCAGTCCTGGACTGTCCCATGTCAGTAAGACATGGGACAGAGACTTTAGCTGAGAAGCGAAGACATGCCGTGACTAAAGACTGATGGCTTTGCGGCCACCAGGGCTCATAATCCCTCCTCTGGCTACACCAGCTGTGTGCCACAATTAGCTTTGTTTTCTGGGCCTCAGTTTTCCCATCTATAGAATGGGGATAATATTTGTGGTTGGCCTTCAGAGATTTTATTTAGTTGTATTTAGACAGGGGCTGGAAACTTCTGATCCTCCTGCCTCTACTTCCAAGTGCTGGGATCAGAGGTCTGCACCACCAGACCTGGTTTCTGAAGACCTAGGGATCAAACTCGGGGCTTCATGCACACTACATAAGCGCTCTAACCACTAAGCTACATCCCAGCCCTGTAGTCCGCCCTCTGTATCTACAGCTTCTACTTCGTGGATTCAACTAAGCACGGGTTGAAAATATCCCAGCGACTGCATCTGTGCTGTGCACTTTTTTTTTTTTCCCACTTCTCATTTATTCCCTAAACAACACAGCATGACATTTTACTGAGTCTTTCTATCCTATTAGGAACGGAAAATAACCCAGAGCTGATTCAACGCATGTGGAGGAGGGGTGTGGGCCCTGCCGAACACTGCAGCCCTTCACAGAAGGGACTGAAGCTGAGGGTTTGGGGGGATCCCTGGGGTCCTGGAAGCAGTTCCTGTGGATACCGAAGGAGGCCTGTGTGGGCACAATGTGATGACTGGCAGACACAGACAGCGAAGGGGGCAGGGCCCTCAGACTGCCAAGTGTACCAAAAAGCAATGACAGCCGTTCCGTTTCTGGCCACCCCAAAACTTGTCCACATTTCCTGGCTTCCTAACGGGTGGGCCCTACACCCTGGTTCCCTGCCAAGCCAATCTCCTGACTCCAGGTGCTGACCCAAGCTAGGCCATCAGACCCATGGGGTCTTAGGGTCCGCTGAGGGTCTGTGGACTCTCTCTCCATGGTGACTACAGACCTAGGGCTGAGATCCTGCCATCCCAAGGACCTAGTCCCCTGAGGACAAGGACAGTGAGGAGAGAATAGATGGGACAGGGGAGATAGTCCCTTCTGAATGAATGCCAGGTCCTATCCCTCCTCATTACTCGATTTCATACAAGCTTCTGTCACGTGTACCCCAAATTCTAGGACAGAAGACCTCTGGCCCTCTGGCCAGGCAGTAGGGCTGGCAGGCAGGTCTACAAGCCAAGCCAGTCTGTCCCAAGAGCAGTTACTGCCCGCCAGGCACAGGTTACTGATGTGTTCATCACTCATAATGGGCTGGGAAGACCAGTGAGCAGGACCAGGAGCTTGTGATGGAGGGGACTCCAGACAGGAGTCAGAAGGGCCACATGGCTCCTCCAGCGGGCTCCTGGGGCGGGGGGCAGTGTGGAGGATGGAGGATTCAGAGTGGAAAGAGAAACAAGGGGGTCCTGGGGGTACCACCCATGCCTGTAAAGTCTCTGGAAGGGGTACACTGCTCCCTGGGCCTCTGTTTCCCCGTCAGCCAAGTCCCGTAAGCTCAAGTTCCAGGTTGATTTCCAGTACTCCAACCTTCCTCTGGGGAGCCCTTCCCCAGCCCTCACCATCGCCCGCCCTCGGCTCGGCAGCTGGCTCACCTGCTCCAGAAGCTGGGCAGCCCCCAGCAGCTGCAGGGTCTCCAAATGTGAATGGAAAAGGGGGCTGGGCTGCAGGTGACCCCCCAGCTTGCACTCAATGATGTAGCCCACAGTGCAGTCATCAGGGAGCCGGATAAGAGCTGAAGTGTCCACGAAGTGGGAGCCGCTGAAGGACAGAGCTGGATGGTGGCCACCGACCCGGGCCCTGCACACCTGTGCCCCCTCCCACCGCCCAGCAGGGCCTCTGCTGGGCCAGCACACTGCAAGAGGACACTGGGCAAGTCTAGAACTTGGGGAGTCTCAGGCTCCTCCCCTAAGTAATGGGTGTGCAGCAGCCCTACCTCCCCAACGTCCTGGAAGGAAGGACTGGGTGGAGGAATGCTGAGGAGCTCTACTAAATGGATCCTTTGTTCTCCCAGTTTTCTCTCATTCATTTGCTCATAGATTCACCGTTCAGCTTGACACCCCCAGCTCCTTATACCTCACTATCAATAAGGACCTAGACGTGAGAAAGAGGTGCTTCCTGCCTGCCACAGACTGGGGTACTGAGGCTGGGGCCAAGTCAGAGGGAAACATGGTTTTGAGGGGAGCTGGGGAGAAAAGGTGGACTTCCCAGAGGCGGCAGCAGGTTTCCAATGGCGTCAGCAGGGAACATCTCCTGACTGCTCCTCAATGTCCTTTCCCCAGCATGCCTGGCCAGGAGTGGGGTAGGCACAGAAATCCAGGCTGAGAGCACCCCAGTTGCACATTTAGATGGGGATGGGTACCACAGAGGTGGGCAGAGCACAGCGGGGCACCCTAATCACAGAGGTGACCTTTGGCCACAGGTGCGTGCCTGCTCCGGCTTGATCTAGGGTCAGCATGCCCTCTGACATACTGAATCCTCTGGGAAACGATGGACAGATAGAGACAGGGGCCGAGCAGCTGAGTGACCTTGAACCTGGGTAACCTAAGGCTTGTCAACCTCTCATACGGGTTCTGCAAGGGGCACTGTCCTCCTGTTATGGTCCTTCTGAAGTACAGCCTAACTCAGGGCAGAGATCCATGCAAGCTCATGGGCACTGACACCAACCTGGGTAAATGCCAGGGTCAGCCACTTCCAGAATGGCAGCATTCCTTCCCCCTCCCCCGACCATGCTCCTGGGATCCCCCTCTTGTGGGGGCCTACAGGGATGTCTCAGATAAAAATGCCACCTCTTCCAGGAAGCCTTCCTCCGGTACCCAGTCAATAGCCCCTCTCCTCCATCTCTGAGGGCTCCAATGCTTAACCCCCATGACGTCAACCGTCAGAAGATAGGGATAAGGCTGCCAAGGCCCCCTGACCCACAGTCAGGAGGGTGTCCACCGGGACATTTTTCCGCTAAGCCCTTACAATGTCATTGGCCGCTATATTTTCAGTTCCATTTGTACACGGAGAAACGAAGGCAGAGTGTACTGAACCACACTCCCTAGAAGTCAACAGGAATGTTCCCCACAGGCCTGGGCTGCCCTGGCACAACTGAATAAGAGGCCATTTCCCCTGGGTATCCTCTTACCCCTCCTGCCTCAAAGGCCCCTCCCATTCCCAGCCCCTCCCGCACACACACACCCCCACTCCCAGGCCTCTGGTTACCTGGCCCATGGCTCCATCTTCAAAGCCAGCTGGCGGCTAATGCAGAAGCCAGCACCCCCTGTGGCAAACCAGAACCGTACCAGCCTCTGGAAAGGAGATGACAGAGGTGTGCCGTGAGCCCAGGACACTCATGGGCACCAGCTAGACCACTCCTCCCCCAAACCACCATGACCCCAAAGCTCTGAGCTTCACACCTCGCTGGAGGCCGAGGCCTGGCCTGAACCTGCCCACTTCACAGCGAGGGAGCCGAGGGCCCAATGTCACACAGCTAATTATGAGTGGTGAGGCCACAGGGGGATCCCAAACCTAGCCAGCGTCTGGAAGAGGAGGCATTTGGTCTGAGACATCCCTGGTGGCCCTCACAGGAGAGAGACCCTAAGGGTGACAGGCTGACATGTACCATTCCCGCTCTTCCTTTGAGGGGGACCCAGCACCTGCTCCCCTAGGTCACAGAGGTGGCCAGGTGCTTCCGGAATGAAGTGCAGGGCTGCTCCCCTTGACCCAGCAAAAGGCACATGACTTAGACCAGTCCACCAGAGCCCTTCCCAGAATGCTCTAGGAAGACCCTAGGGGAGAGGCCCCCATACAGGGTCACTAGCCTGAGGAGCAGGATTCCCCTACGCCACCGCCACCGACACCAGGCCTCCAGCTCTCACTTTTCCCTGCCCCCAATTCCTGAGGCTGAGAAAGGTTTTCCACAAATGAAGAGCCTGAGTCCACTCCTGGAGTAGAGAGGGGATGATCTCAGGAGCACCTGTGGGCAGGCAGCCCCATGACATCATCATCCCAGTAATGGGTAGCACCCCATCCGCCACTTTCTGACCCAACTACCACCTTCCCCTCAGCCCAGGCCTCTTCCCGGCTCTCTTGTGAGGACCCTGAATTCACCTGTGGAGAACTTTTCCCTTCTGCCATTTCATCTCTTGGTCTAACAATCACACACACACACACACACACACACACACACACACACACACACACACACACACTGCATACCTTCCCTAAAGTCCACAGTTGATGCTTAATAAACGTATCTTGCATTGGGCTGAGTTTTCCCCCCATGATGCTTTTGTAGAAAGATCCCTAGGCAGACAATGAGGAGGCCCAGGTCTCCGTCTCCCCTCTTTGCCCAGCTGCGGGACCTCAAGGGAGCCACTTCCGGGCCCTGGGCCTTAAATTAGGCCTGGGAGCACAGCTGCCCCCATTCCGTCACCCGACAGCCTTCCTTCCTAATTTACTTCCACAAACGTCCTTTAGAGAAGGTTCGGGGTTCCAAGAGGCAGAGTGAATGTCTCTTGAGGACCCAGCGTTCAGGAAGTGCTCCATAAATGTGTGTTTTGTTGAAATTAACAAGTGTGCGGCTTCCACTCCCATGTAATTACAGCCACCGCAACATCCCTGAAAGGAACTCAGCCTGAGCCATCCCTGTGCCCGGCCCTGTGTGGAGGGCTGTGCTAAGGGCTGTACCCCAAACTCAGTGACCAAGGCACGGAGGACTGAGGTCACCTGCCTCAGGGCACAGAGCAGGAACCGATGCCAGGTCAGAGCTCCTTTGCCTTTGCTGCCCGACCCCGAAGAACTCCAGGCTCTGCACTGGCCTGGGCACTCTGGGATTCTGGAACATTCCAAGACAGAATAGGGGGTGGGACATTCCCTTTGGCGGTGTATGCCAAGGAGAGCATTGTGCATGTTGTGGGTGTGCTGGTTAATTTGACACAAATTAGGAGGAGAGACCCTCCATTGAGACAATGCCTCCATCGGATTGGCTTGTAAGCAAGTCTGTGAAGGTTTTTCTTTTTTCTTTTCCTTTTTGGTTTACTGAGACAGAGTTTCTCTGTGTAACAGCCTTGACTGTCCTGGAACTCACTCTGTAGACCAGGCTGGCCTCGAACTCACAGAGATCCACCTGCCTCTGCCTCTCGAGTTCTGGTATTAAAGGCGTGCGCCACCACCATCCAACTATGAAGCATTTTCTTGCCTGATGATTAATGTGAGAGGTCCACCAGCCCACTATGGGTGGTGCCATCCCTGGGAAGGGGTCCTAGGTTATATAAGAAGGAAAACGAAGCAAGCCATGAGGAACAAGCCAGTAAGCAGCACTCCTCCATGGGTTCCTGTCTCCGTTCCCGCCTGCGTTCCTGCCTTGACTTCCCTCGATGATGGACTGCGATCCAAACACATCAGCCAAGCAGGCCCTTCCCGCCCCGTGTCTCTTTCGGTGTTTACGGCAGCAACAGAAAGCTAACCAGGACAGTGGGACACAGGTCTGGGTGTACCCAGTCAGGCCTTGAACTAGCCAGGCAGGATGTGGCTACAAATGAATCCCATAATATCCATCCAATCCCCAGTCCAGGAACTCTGACAAGTGGCCCCACTCGATTCTTTGGCTCAAAACCATGAGTAGGGGCTGTTACCACCTGCTCCACAGATGAGAAACTGAGGCACAAAGAGGTTGACCAACGTCAACCAGGGTCACCAAGCCAGGAGTGACAGGGCTGCCCTATGAACCCAGGGAGGCCTGCGCCAGCCTGGAATCCTCAGGCCTGGAGACAGAGGGGCTCAGGCTGGATGGGAGGTCAGAGTGGAGGCTGGGGACACCCCTCGGCTCACCTGGAGTGGCACATGCGTGCACACCCTGGGGCTCAGGAGGATTTAATTAGGGCTCAGCGGCTGATGAGCCACTGATAATTAAGGCTCCGGTTTCCCCAGAGCAGCAGATGGTGGCCAGGGGAGGGAGGGAAGCCCCAAGCATCAGCTCCTGCTCCAAGGAGGGCCTCCTGGGAGGGGGCCTCCTCCTTCCTGCCTTCTCCCTACCCCGGGGTTACTACCCAAGCTCCAGAAACTAGGCAGACTGGGGGCAGGGAAGAACCATGCAATTAGGGGAACACAGGCAAAACCTCATTATTTATCTGGTGTCTGGTTGAAGCACGGCCCAGCTCTCCTAGGCTTTTGTTTTCTAACCTGGCCATAGTGACGTCCTAGGACTGTCACTTGGGTCTACAGTGTAGTTGATTCTGGGCCCCCCCCCCCAGTTCCCAGTGTCCACACTTCAGTGGCTGGGCAGTGAAGACGTTAGGGGGGTCTGCAGCTCTGAGCACCCACAATTTATCACCTGGCCTGGCAATAGTTTGGTATTTTTCCGGCTTTGAGACAGTTTCACTCTATAGCCCAGGCTGGCCTGGGAATCCGCTACGTAATTCTGGCTGGCCTTGAACCAGTGATAGCTGCCTCAGCCTCCCCAGGTGGTGGGATTACAGGCATGCACCTCCATGGTAACGGGGATCAAAACTAGAGCTTTGGACATGCTAGGCGAGCACTTTACCAACTGCACTCCAGCTCCAGCCCAGGAGTCTTTTAAGATCTTGTACAAACACATGGTGAAGCCAGGTGCCTGGGGGCTTGGTCATGGATGGAGTCAGGAAAGCCTTCTTGCCAAGCCAGAGCTCCTGGATGACCCAGGCCTTACTAAACAATCAGGCCCCGCCTCCGGGTCAGGCCCCGCCTCCGGGTCAGGCCCCGCCTCCGGGTCAGGCCCCGCCTCTGGGTCAGGCCCCGCCTCCGGGTCAGGCCCCGCCTCCGGGTCAGGCCCCGCCCCTCGTCTCAGCCCACCCCTGAGAGCAACAACCACCTGGAAGAGGAGGAAGGGACGCACCGTGCGGTTTTTTGATTGCAGCTCAGAGGCGTGGATGGGCCGGTTCAGGCTGGGCTTGCCCACGTAGACGTCACGGTCCTGCGGGAATGTTTTCAACAGCTGTAGCAGTGCCCTGGGGTTCACGTAGTTGTCATCATCCACGTGGCAGAACCACCTGTGGGGATGAGCATGTGGCGATGCTGTCTGTGTTCCTGACCTCCACAGTCAAGCGCTACCCGCTATGGGCTGGATGACTGTCAGGGTTGACTGAACGGTGAAGGACAGACGAACCGGGAAGAATGAAACTCGGGGCCGTCTTTGCAGGCACTGGGTCCAAAAGTTCCAGAGTCTGACCTCGTGGTTTATTCTACTCACACATTTAAGCATAGTAATAAAACTTGGGGAAAAGGTTTCCTAGTGACACTCATCACAGCAAAGCTTTAGACAGAGCTACATCGAAACTCTCTCGCAAAGTGGCAGAACACCCGCGACCTTTACAAGAAGAATGAATTCTAGTGGCTGATCAACAGGGCTCAGGACTGGGGCCTTAGAGCAGCGGTTCTCAACCTGTGGGTTGTGACCCCTCTGCAGGTTGAATAACTCTTTCACTGGGGTCGCCTAAGACCATCAGAAATATCAGACGTTTATGCTATGGTTCATAACCGTAGCATAATTACAGCTATGAAGTAGCAACAAAAATAATTTTATGGTGGGGGAGGGCGGGTGTCCACCACAACATGAGGAACTGTATTAAAGGGTCGCGGCATCAGGAAGGTTGAGAACCACTGGCCTAGAGGAAGGATCTGTGATGAGCGTAAGGTGGATCCTGTTGGTGGAGGATGCAAAGCACACAGAGCCTCTGTCATGGGGATGAGTTCTAGCCACTGAGAGACAAAGCTGAGGATTGGGGCCTAAACGATTCTCAGGATATTGGGGGATTCAGGTGCAGGCTAGCTCCTAATAGATAATAGCGCTCCTAATAGATAATAGATAATAATAGCGCCCCTACTAGAATAGTTTGACCGCTTTCACGGACACTCCTGGTGACCAGGGACCATTCATTTCCTTCCGTCGAAGAAAATCAGACAATCCCGGTTTCTCCAATGCTGACTCTAAGCTGTGCTTCCTACAGGTAGCTACTTAGTCAACCCTGTGTTTGGGGTCCTCTGGGTACCCTCAGAGGAAGAGACAGCTACAGAACAGATGAAGACAGACTTCAAGGCCACGCAGCCAGGGAGTGACAGGATTTGACTCCAGGTGGTCCATCTGCTAGGTGGGAAAGGGTGAGTCAGACCCCCGGAGGCCCCAGGACCCCTTCACTGGACCCAGGTCCCTCCATTTAGCGGGGGAACTTGGGTGTGCATGTCTGTGTATGTGCAGGTACCGAGATGTGCATGCATCCAGAGGCCGGAAGCCAGCCTTGGGCGGTGTTCCTCCTGTTAGCATCCACCTTGCTCTTTGACAGGATCTCTTACTGGGACCAGGAGCTTAGGATGTGATGACGAGCCAGCGCGCCCCAGAACCTGCCTGTCTCCACCACCTCGCACTGGGGTTAGAAGCGTGTGCACGTTCTTTTGGGGTAGGTGTTGGGTATCGAACTCAGGTCCTTGGGTTTGCACAGCGCGTACTTTACCCACTGAGCCATCATCTCCTCAGCCCCGCCACTCCACTTTTCTCGACAGGACACTCAACTCAGAAGGTGGCCTGAGGCCAGCGAGATGACTCAGGAGGTAAAGGCACCTGCCAGAAATATGATGGAAAGAAAGAGCTAAGTCCCAAAAGTTGTCCTCTGATATGGAGACCCACAGAGGTTTCCCAGTGAGGACTTACTCAGGGTCCGAGAATCTGGGCTTGCTTTACCTACCCAGCAGGGCTGCATAAGGGGGTGATTTGACCATGGGCGTGGTTACCAGGTGTTTGGAAGGGTCTACACTTGGCTGTGCAGTGTGCTTTGATCTTGCTAGGGGGAGGTCTTTTGCCCCACCCCTTGGCATTGTTATAAAAAGCCCTTTTCAATAAACGGAAAAGGCCACTGGGTAGTGATCCAGGCCCTCTCGAAGCTATCCTGTGTTTTCATTTTTCCTTTCATCGTCTGGCTCTCTTTCTATCTAATATTTTCTTACCCCTCTCCTCTTCATAAGAACCCTTGAAAAAGTGGGAGCTGGCCTCCCACACTCTGACCTTCACACAACACCATGGCACACATACACCTACACACGTATACACACAGAGACACCCACATAGATAAATAAATAAACAAAAAGCACACAAATGTAATTTTAAAAAACTAAGCCAGCCACGCCTTTAGTTCCAGCACTCAGGAGGCAGAGGCAGGCAGATCTCTGTGAGTTTGAGGCTAGCCTGGTCTACATAGTAGTTCCAGGACAGCCACAAAACAGAACAAAAAATGTTAAAGAAATGGCCTGAAGCAAAAGTCACTCCGGGCCCCAGTGACCTAGCAACACTCACCTGAGCCCACTGGCCAAGAAGGCATCGAACTCTGCAGCCATCTTGCAGGACAGAGCAGGATGGCTGTGCTCTGCAGAACAGTTGGTGACCACAAGGTGGGAGCCTGGAGATGGGAAGCAGTCAGGGGACCTGCCCAGCCCCTCCCCTTAACTCTAACCCTGGGAATATAAGACAAGGTGGACCTCAGAGAGCCTGGAGGGCTCATCCCCTCCCAGGAGAACCCAGGCAACAGACGGAATGGGGCCTTCTCCAGCAGCCTCTTACACCTGCCGTTCCTGGGAGCAAGGTAGTCCCCAATGCCAAAGGCGGGAGACCTAATTCCTGGGGACCCTGATTCTTCTGCCCACGGTGGAGGACCACCACCCCAGCTGAGGAGTTACCCAGTCTCTCCTGGAGGTTTTCGTCGGGGCTGTCAGTGAAGATGAACGTCTGTGGAGAGAGGGAGGCATCAGGATAGGTTGATGGAGGGAAGCCCCCAACCCACAGCCCACCAAGGCCGCACCCAGATTAACCCCCCCACACAGGAGGATATGTAGGAGGACACTGCAGACCCTGCAGACTTCTTCTGTCCTCAGACACACTCTCCTCACGCACACAGGCAACTGAACTCTCAAGGACACCGACTCCAGGGTGAACCATCCCAGCTGTGTGCTCTCCAGGGCCGCACACGCTTAGCCAATTCATGCCCCTTCCGCACACGATGTCACAGCCCCACTTGGCCACCATACTGGTTAGGTTTTGTCAACTTGACACAAGCTAGAGCCGCCTGGGAAAGCTCAACTGAGAAGCTGCCTCCATCAGAATGGCCTGCAGGCAAGTCTGTAAGGCATTTAGTTATTGAACATTGATGGGAGAGGGCCCAGCCCACTGTGGGTGGTGCCACCCCTGGGCAGGTAGTTCTGGACTGTATAAGAAAGCAGGCTGTAAACCACGTCGTGGTGGTGGCGGCGGCGGCGCACACCTATAATCCCAGCACTCAGGAGGCAGAGACAGGCGGATCTTTGAGTTTGAAGCCAGCCTGGTCCTACAGAGCGAGTTCCAGGGCAGCCAAGACTACACAGAGAAACTGTGTCTCAAAAAACAAATGAAGCCGGGTGGTGGTGGCACACGCCTTTAATCCCAGCACTCGGGAGGCAGAGCCAGGCGGATCTCTGTGAGTTCGAGGCCAGCCTGGTCTACTAAGTGAGTTCCAGGAAAAGGCGCAAAGCTACACAGAGAAACCCTGTCTCGAAAAACCAAAAAAAAAAAAAAAAAAACAAATGAAACAGAAGAAGAGGAGGAGGAGGAGAGAAACAAAGCAGACTGGGTAAGCCATGGGGACCAAGCCTGTAAGCAGCACCCCTCCATGACCTCTGCTTCAGCTCCTGCCTCTGGGTTCCTGCCCTGACTTCCTTCATGATGGACTGTAACCTGTAAGCTGAAATAAACCCTTTGTTCCCCAGGTTGCTTTTGGTCATGGTGTTTACCACAGCATTGAAAGCAAAGCCCCTCGAACCCTAAGCCACAGGAGTGTGCAGACTGAAGGGCTTCCCCCACCCATTCCCTCACACACCACACCATTGAGGGACTAGCCACACCATCCAACCACAAACCCTCGCCCAAGTTCAGAGGCCCCCTAAGCACCTCAGAAACCTCACACGCTGGCACGATCCTGCTTTCTCAGACTGGGCACCTCCTCCCCAGTGACCGTCTAAAGATGAGGCTAAGCAGAGATTCCAACCCACAGACCTGGGCTGCTTCTTATTTTGTTTATTTGTTGAAACGAAGTCTCACACTGTAGATCAGGCTAGCCTGGAACTCAACTATGTCACCCCAAACTGGCCTGCAACTGGTGGCAATCCTCCTGCATTGGCTTCTTGTGTGCTGGGATTACAGGTACATCCTGGCGTGACTGGGACATTTCTTGCCACCCCTAGGTGGGTGGGAATCAGTCTCTTAGTCAACCAAATACCAACTCCAAACCAGACATCTTCAAACCATCCAGAATCTGCCTGTGGGCAAGACAGGGTCACAGCAGACAGGCAATATGTGTCACACCCACCCCAGAGCTAGCCCAGGGTATACAGAACTCCCCTACTGGGCAAACAACACACACTATCACAGAACATCTGGAAGGCCTTTGGTGGTGTCCCTGACCCTTGGGCTGCTCTGCCAGAATCTGGAACAATTCTGAACCTCTTCTCAGTGAGGGTTGAGGAAACAATGTCCGCCTGTGTTCAAGACCTCTGTAGTCCCCATCCCTCACTGGACCCAGGCCTATGTGACCTCCTCTATCGTCCTTCCAAGACCAGGGCTCCAGCTTCAGCGAGGCTTCCTCTTTACCCACAATGTCTTGACACCACAAACCCTCCCAGACCAAAACAGCCCCTGTCCTGAGCCTCAGTTTACCTATCCATAAAGTAGGAAAGCAAGTGGACAGGAAGTTAGTTAGGGTTGACAGGGAAGGAAGAGCGTCTAGGGAAGGCAGGCTCTACTTCTTCTACCTCACAGGGAACAGGGGCACAGGAGGCCAGAAGCCAGGGGTCGGGAACTGGGAAAGGGGACATGAGGGAGCCATACGGCTCTCCCAAGGCCTGTAACCACAAGTTTACTTCTGAGCCACGGTCATCCTCTGCCTTGATCCTCAAACCTACTGTCCCCTCAGGATCAGATAGATAGCACCTGTTAATATCATTCATGACGCCCTGTTTCCCTTACGGTAAGTGTAGTCTGGACCGGAGAGGTGGCTCAGTGATTAAGAGCACTGTCTTCTCTTCCAGAGGACCCAGGTTCAACTCCCTGAACCCACATGGTAGCTCACAACTGTCTGTAACTGCAGTCCTAGGGGGGAAATCCAGTGCCCCCTTCTGGCCTCTACGGGTACTGCATGCACAGACATATCTGCAGGCAAAAACACCCATACACATAAAATAAACACTTTTTAAAAAAAATAAGTGTGGTCAAGGAAGAGACATCTGCTCTTTGCCACCTGAAGTGACTTTACCTCAGCCCTTCCTCCCCCTACTCCTGGGGTTTCTCGACTCAGATTCCTTTCAGTTACCCCAACACATTACAGACACACCTTCCGCATAGACTGAGCTCTTTAAACCTCAAACTGCCAACTCTAGCACCTCCCCCCACCCAAGAGACCCTCCCTGACACCTGTCAGCTACTCCAGAGGCCCCCTCCCACCACGATCTGTCTGTCCCCAGTGTCCCAGCGCCTGGCTCTCTCAGGGCCTTTGAGCCCTCTTCCTGGGGTCTGCTTCTGCCCGTCACATTGAGCTGGTGCCAGAGCCCTGGATGTTCTGGGGAGTGGCCTAGGCCTGGTATCTTCCTCTCCACCCCTCCACCACACACAGCATTATCACCCGAACCCTCTCCACACCTGCTGCTCGGCCTCCTACTGGACCCCAGCCTCTCAAATCCCTGTCACCATAACGTTTCCCTGGAGGCTGGAGCATCAGGACTGAGCCCCTAAAAAATACAAGCAAAGGCCAGCAATGGAGCTGTGGCCTAGCACTTGCCCAGCATGCTCAGGCCTTGGGTTCAATCTCTAACACTAGGGAAGAGAGGGCAACCCCCCCCCCAAAAAAAAGGCAAGAGCCAGGGTTCATCAATAGAGCAATCATCTGCACTTGTCTTGTGAGGCCCTAGATTCCATGACCAGCACCAAAAGAGTGAATCCCCCCCCCCCGCCCCACACACACACACACAGCTATGTTCTTCCCACTTGCTAGGTCCCCGAGCCTTGCAGTCACAGTACCTGTTTCCTTCCCCTTGCGCTTCCTGTGGTCCGTCCACTCCTCTCACCCTCCACATTATCCTGGCTTCTGGCTTCCTCTGCTCCCAAGGCTAGTCCTGGCCCAAGCTTTCTCCTGGGTCTCCAGGCTGTCTTCCTTGGCCTCTGGCAGCCTTCTGCCCTCACCCAAGCCTCCTCACAACAGAGCTCTAGAGGGAGCCAGCCGGATGGCCAAGGAGTCGGGCCCTTCTCGCCTGACCGTCTGGCAGATGTTTGCCACCAAACGGCCACGGGGTAGCAGAAGTCACGCAAGTTCAGAGCATGAGACCAACAGGACTGAGGATGTTTGCTGAGGTGGGGTGGGAGGTGGAGCAGAGTCTGGGAAAGGACTGAGGTCCAGGCCAGAGTCTGGGGCCAGAGAAGGCCCGGGAGCCCACGGGTTTGGCTCTTGGGAGCACAGGGTGGTGGGTAGGAGCAGCAGGCTGCGTTTGATTTATTGAAGCAAGAGACCCAGACAATAGTTAGTTACAGCTTCACAGGCTGGGAAACAAAGAGACTGGCAGGCTGCTGGGGCAGGGGAGGGGGTGGCCGGGGACCATCTGCTGCGGTGAAGGGGAGAGTGGGCTAAAGCCATCACCCCCCGCCCAGCCCCCACCCCAGAGGGAGAAAGGCTCCTTGAAGCTCAAAACACACAAAACAGCCTTCCCCGCCCACCCCCTCTGCCACACAAAGGCCATACACGAGTCCATCCCGGCACACTAAGCTGGGGCCACCTGTCACCCCATCACCTTTAACCAGCTGGGAGCCCAGCACCGGAGTTAACCAGCTGGGGCTGTTTCCAGACACATTGGTGATGTGCAAATGTGGAAACTGAGGGCCCATAGCCAAGATCACAGGAAGAAAGAAGCCTGGAAGTGAGGAACGGATCTCCTTGTCTTCCCACAGTCCTTCTACACCTGACCATCCTTCCAGAACCTTTTCCCTTGCACGGTCGGGGTTCCAACACCTCGCCTGCCTCCCCGCCTGACCTCATTGTGGACTGGAAGTCAGTATCTGCCATGCACATAGTCAGCAGGATTAAGCAGCATGATGCCTCTGACTGCAGCCCCTTGGAGAAGCTGGCAGGTGCCCCTTGACCTGGTCAGCCTCTGGGAGAACCTGGGGCATGCAGTTAGGCAGTGGCCTCTTTGCCAATCTGTTCTGCCAGGCACCAGCACCTCAGCTGATGACCCAGAACCAGCCCTCCAGTAACCGTGGCAGCTCTGATTTCGGGGGTCCCCAGGAGAAAAGAAAGGGGCCCCGTTGAGGAGTCCCACTGTGCTCTGCCCGACAGACCTTCTGGGTGACTCTGGCCAGCCTAAGCTCATCTGCAGCCTTATTTGAGATGAGGGCACCATCATGGTGAGCAAGACAGGAAAGCGCCAGGGACCACATGAGGCCTTGCTCCCTGGTACACACAGACGCAGCTCCATAAACAGGAAGGTCTGTGCCGAGGGCCAGCCCTGCTGGCTTCCGAGGAGGAACCATACTCTCCACGAGACAAAAAACTGTATAAGGTGGGGGGGCGGGGGGATGCTGGGGGTGCACGGAACTCCATGGGAATGGAGCTCACGCCTGTGCCAGACACTGTGCCAGGAAACAGGGAGGGGGGCATCCTTTCCAGGTACCTCCACCTCTCCTCCCTCACTGAACTGCCTCCTCTCCTGGGCCTCCCCAACAAGGGCTCAGCCACTTCCTCCCACAGAGCCAGCAGCCACAATGCGGATGGAGCATGTGTGTGTACAAGTGCATGAAACCACTTCTGCCTCCCCCGAGGTGGTCTCCAGTGCACCCCCATCCCTGGCTTTGATTGACGGGGTCTCGAGTATGGGGAGGAGGGCTCTGCTTTCAGGAACCACACTTACAGCCCGCACTTTATTAACTTTCTTATTATTGTGTTCAGCTTACGTGGCTCTGTGTGTGAGCACATGTACACACACACACACACACACACACACACACACACACACACACACACAGAGGTATTCCACATGACAGGCAGATCTCCACCTCACCTTGACCTCCTGCCCACTCTGCCTTAGCCACTGTCTGCCAATGGCAGCACAGGAAACCAGAGGCTAGACACTGTCCTCACACCCTACTCAGCACAGTGGGGCAGGAACTGAGAGGAAGCCTCCTTCAGGCAGGCCCCACCTCAATGTCTCCCCAGCATCCACACCACACCTCTGCTACACGCAGCCTCATCCATGCTCAGAGCCGAGGACTCATCTGGTGGGTTGCACCTTCCTGCGGGCTAACATCCACCGGTGACCCTGAGGCAAGTTAGGGCCAAAAATCTAGGAGAAGAGGGGGACCCAAAAGAGGACGGGGGGAGCCTGGCGCAGGGGGCACCACACTGAACCCAACAGATGTAGACACGTGAATCTGAGGAGCCCTTGGAGCGTGGGGATGGGCATGGAGGAAGAAGGAGCAGTAGAGAGAGACCCCAGAAGGAGCCCCCCCCCTCAGTGGGCAGCTTCTCCCCAGACCGTTAGGAGGACCCCTGTGAGCCCCTCGGCCAAGAGGTCTCTCTGGCCCGCCTGTCACCTGTTGCCTGGTCCTGGAGACCCACGTGTCAAGTAGCAGGTCCAGGCGAGAGCGGTGGAAGGCCCAGGTAGTCTTGACTGCGATGAAGATGTCGCCCAGCTGCAGCTCCAGGGGCCCTGGGTTCGGCTGGGTCAGCCTGAGCGCGTCCTGAGCCATCCGCAGCGACAAGCTTGAGTGGTACCGTAGAGACAGGAGCCCCACGCACAGGAGGGTAAAGAGGGCTCCTGCCAGGCCCCGAAAGGCCCTGCAGTGCATTGGTACAGGGCGACCCCCAGACGGTTCAGCCCCTGACTCCCCAATCAGTCAGTCTGGGGTAGGAGGCTGGTCAGGCGGAGGCCCTGGTGTGGGCAAAAGTCTGGCAGGCATCGGGGGCAGGGGAAGGAGGAAGCTGAGTCTCCAGACCCGGAGGCTGAGCCACCACTGTCCCGCCAGCCGGCAGAGGCCACCAGCCCGCCACCTGCTCCTCCGCCCTCCCTTCCTCCCTCCCTCCAGGCAGGGCGGCTTGGCTCCTGGCCCCGCCCCTGCTTCACCCCGAGGGGCGGGGCCAGGCCTGGGAAGCCCCAGAGGCGGCTGCAGGGAGTCACCCACTCGAGAGGGGGCCAGCTCTGCCTGCTGCTGCGGCTGCTGCTGCTGCAGCCACACCAGATCCCCCACGAGGTGGGAAGGAGCCCCTCAGCCTTCCCACGCTCACAGCCCCGTCTCTGGCTCCTACAATACCCATTATTTCATGGTCCACAGAGTCCCTATTCGACCCAGCGTCCCGGTCCTGGCTCACCCCCTCCTGTCTGCCCTCGCCATCACCCACCACACATCAGGCCTCTGTGTACCACAGGACTGTGCCCGCGGTACCACACTTCCTAGCAATCACTTCTTGCTTTCTCTGAATCTTTACACAAACGTTATTTCTGCCATCCTTCTCTTTCTGTCTTCCAGCTACCCAGTGTATTTTACATATTTATTGTCTTACTGGTAAGACTACTGGGGCAGGGAGTTTCTTGTCTTTTGTTGACTCTAGAGAGCCCCGTACTGTGCCTGGCAGAGACTAGGTAACTCTATCAATACTTGTTAATTAAGCACAGGAAAGTGCTTGGTGGCGGCTGTGAACGGATCTAGGCCTGGACCAGGACAATGAGGCAAGCTTTGTCAGCCCCAGCCTGTCCCCTTCACAGCCCGCCTCCTCAAAACAGTGCCACCAGGGAAACGCATAGGCTTGGTGCTCGGTTCAGATCCCCGACAGGGCCACTACCTGGCTGTACGGCATTAGGCAAGATAGTTCTATCGTTTATAAATGACAGAGGCCTGGCAAGATGGTTCAGTGGGTAAGGGCGCTTGCCACCAAGCCTCTGGACCCGAGTTCAGTTCCCAGGTCCATGAACACACATGCCCACTCCTGAAAGTTGTCCTCTGACCTCCACACAGGTGTGCATATTACCACGGCAAATTCCTTAAAGAAAGGAATCTCAGGGCAGGTGGGAAGGCTCGGCAGGTAAATTAGCTGACAAGGCTGGTGACCCAGGTTTGACCCCCAGGACCCACAGGATGAAAGGAGAGAACTGACTCCTGAAAGCTGTACACACGCTCGGCACTCTCGCTCCCGCAGGCACACACCATAAACATCTTGTAAGTGAAATCCTAGCCCCCAAAGCCAAGAGGCACCCTCTTTCAGCCAGTCTGCCTGGACTGCTCCCCCTGGGGGTGACCATCCTCATTCCTGGGGCGGGGGAGCTGTCTCGGGGACATCCACACACCCACGATGTGCTCTGGGTCTCCCGAACAGACTCCTGAAGGCACTCACGTCCCGCTGGCTTCCGTGACCTGCACCAGAGGACACTCTGCGGACGGACGGACGGAGCAAGGCAGGGCTGAGGCCCCCCACCCGGTACTGTGGCAGGTAAGGTGATGCCTGCACAGATGGCGGGCATCTCTGGGAGGAGTCACGGGAAATGTGACCCTGGCCACGGACCGAGCAAGCTGGCAGGGACCTGAAAGGTGGAATCTGCCAGGGCCAGGGATGGAGACAAAGAGGTGGGGGAGTGGAGCAGGGGCCCCAGGTCAGGGATGGAAGCAAGCAGGAGGCCACCAACTTCTATGACAAACTTTAATGACTCATTATGTGCAGCTTGAGTGAAAGGCCCTGGGAGTTACCCACAAGCCAAACATTCGGGCGGCCTAGCAGCACCGCCACCCCGGCCTCCTCGAGGCAGGTGGGGAACGGGAAACCAGCCAAGAGAACATATCCTGGTGTGCTGCACAGAACACACATTTGTTAGTGCCCAGTGTCACGGGGAGAGTGTGATGTTTACACACACACACACGGAGAGATGACACACACAAGGAGACGTAAGGGTTCAAGCTGACCAGGGAGGGCAGCCAAGGTATCTGCATGACAGTAGACACGAGAACCGCTAGTGAACTGTGGGGGGCCACACGATGGTGGCAGGGCAGGCTGAGGACCTCCGGGACCTTGTGCACCCAGGTGGAGAGACGGCATCAGAGGCCCATGAGGACATGAGTGTGCAAAGTTAGACAACAGTGTGAGAACTCTATTCCAAGGTGAGTGTGTAAGGAGAGGGCCCAGGCACACACGAAGACCCACAAACGGAAATGTAGGGGGTAAACACGGGGACACGGGAGTCGGTGAGGAGACAGAGCAGCAAGTCAAGGGCAGGCACAAGGTCCGCCCCGTGGGCAAAGGTCTGCCCTGTGGGCTTCCACAGCCTCTACAAGGCCCATGGCTGACTCTGGTAAGAACCCAGGACTAGGGTCCCACACTGGAGAGTCCATGGGACAAGCAAGGCCCCAACTGGGGAGGTCTGACTCCACCACAGACACAGGATCGCATCAGTCTCTCTAGCACAGGCGGAAGCCCAGGCATAAATGGAGAGTGTCCGGGCACCGGATGGGGGAGGCCCAGGCATCTGATGGAAGAGGTCTGGAGAGTGGCTGGAAGAGTCCCTGGCACAGGCTGGGTCCTCAGGCCTCACTGCTGCTGCCGCTGCCCCCTCGGCTGCTGCCTCGCTCCACCCACACGAGGCGAGCCTGTTCCTGCAAGATGCGGCCACGCACCACCTTGGCCAGCTCCTCCGCGTGGCCCCAGGCATGGGCAGGCACCTGTACCCAGGAACACGGCAGTCCCCAGAGCCACTGTTCTGAGCCCCGGCACTGACGAAGCAGTTCTGAATCCCGCCATCCCGGCCGGCCCAGCAGGCCCCTGCAGAGGAAGGTGGCGATCAGGGCAGGCTGCACAGGCACACGTACAATGCATATATGATACATGCACATGATGCATATTATATGCACACACATATGACAAACAGCACACATAACACACACCAATACACACTGACTGATACACAATACACACATACAACTACAACACACACAATACCTCAAAAGCACAATATACATATGGCACATGATATGTATACAATACATCATATATGTGTAGCATGCCTGATACACACATGATATGAGGGTTACACATGACACATGATAATGCATGATACACAGACAAGATACACATACAATGCATGACACACATAATACACACCCAGAACATATACACACATGATACACATGACACACATACCACACACATATGATGCATGCATTATCTATGAGACACACAGTACATATACCTATGATACATACATGCACATGATACACAAAATATGGACCTACCTGTGTTACAGACCTAACCCTCTCTAAAGATAAATACCCACAACACGCATACACGATACAAGCATGCACACACTGATGGACAGACAGATGGACAGTCAGAAACAGAGGCTTCCACAGGGTGGGGGGGGCACACACATGGCCACCACTCACCTGATCTCACGGACATTCTTCTCAGTCACCTCCACATGGATGACGATGGGGTAGACCTCACTCTGCACCAACTCCCTCACGCCCCGTGCACCCAGCTCCAACAGACAGTGCTTCTTCTCGGACAGACAGACAGCTTACTCCTGGGACCACCTCCCCAGCCGCACCCACCCTGTCACCACCCCCCAGGACAAAGTCCTGCTTCATCAGCAAAGAACCCAATCAGACTGGAGACCCAGGCTCACCAGGGGCCTGGATCTCAGCGGTCACACCCCACAGCCGCCTCCCCGCAGCCCCAGTCAGCAAGCAGGACAATGGAAGTTCAGAAACAAGGAGGGTCAGGTAAGAAATACCAGTCCACACCTCAGGGTAACCCCAGGAGCCACGGTCCCAAAACCCAACCCGCACAGGGAAGACAGCGAGGAGCCCAGGAGATGGCCCAGATGCTGGTTCTGGGTCCCAAATGCCAACCTAGCCCCCTCCAGCACCTACCTTCCCAACAGACTCCTGGATGGCACGGATCCTGTTGCCCAGCCCAGGGGTGGCAGGCCAGGCCTTGGGGGCTCCGGGAGCCGAGGATGCGCCCTGTTCCTCTCCAGAGAAGCTTTCTACGGAGAACAAGGACATGCTGGACGAGGGGCCACAGGCTTGGCTGTCCAGTGCCACCCAGTGCCCCTTCACCCCACGCCAACCTACCCACCCACCCTGGTGTCGGACTCACCTGCGGGGCACACTTGGAAATCCAGCCTGGAGTTGGGCAGATCCAGCAGATTGCGGATGAGCCGGGGTGCCAGGCACTCAGGTAGGAGCACCACAGGCCTCAGGGCAGAGACGAGTAGTGGCCGCACCAGGCTGTAGGGTTTAAGGCTTCGCTCTAGCTCTGCAGAGGGGGCGGGGCGTGGATGAGATGAGGGCTACACAGGATAGACACTTAAAACCATCATCACCTTCTGCTACCTAGTTTCCCTTCCTGAGTCCTGTTGTACTGAGAGAGAGAGAGAGAGAGAGAGAGAGAGAGAGAGAGAGAGAGAGAGAGAGAGAGAGAGAGAGAGAGAGAGAGAGAGAGAAAGCAGGACTCTAGCAGAAGGCATCTTTCCGATCCTGTCTCAGATCTGCCCCCTACAGGCCACTCCCCGCTCAGCACTTAGGGAGAGGCTTCCAGCCGCCAACCGGATCTTGTGACTCCTGCTTTCAATGCACGGCTGACTTCCCAACATCCCAGGGCAAAGGGCACATCCTCCCAGTGGTGACAAAAGAATGGCCTGAGGGCCTGGGGAGAACACAGCGTCTGCCGGTGCTGTGTTCCTGCTTTAGCTGCCTGCAACATCAGAGCTTTCCCCTGTCGCCCAAAGCCATGCACCTGCCACCAGTCCGCCCACTAGCCACCCCAAGCACGAGTCACACCTTCCGAGGTCCCTAGCACACGCTCCAGGGCACCTCATTCTTTTTGTTTGTTTGTTTTTATTTTTCGAGACAGGGTTTCTCTGTGTAGCTTTGCCCCTTTCCTGGAACTCACTTGGTAGCCCAGGCTGGCCTCGGACTCACAGAGATCCGCCTGGCTCTGCCTCCCGAGTGCTGGGATTAAAGGCGTGCACCACCACTGCCCGGCAGGGCACTTCACTCTTAACTACACTCACTGTTTCACCTGACAGAC